AAATAATGTATTTTACTACCCAAAAATCAAAAGACATTGCAAAATCACTACAGTTTAAGGTGCTTGTTTATGATTTGCAGTTTAAAAGAAGGGGGGGAATAAAACACAGCTAAGTGTCTGTAAAAGTAAAAGGATTATACCGTCATGAAGTCTGCTCCATCCTGTTCCTTTCAAACAGGGCTGTGCCAGTGTGTGCTTATGCCAAGGAAGCTGCTTTAAATTGCAACAGGAAACACATCTTGGCCACTTCCTGCTTCCCCTGAGGAAGTGACAAGTCAGACGGGGAGCCAGTGGCCCAGCCATAATTAAGACTGAAGTCTGGGTGAGAGTACATTTCCAAAAATAATAAGAGATTATCTGCTTTAAGTGCTATATCACTTTAACACTACTCTTGTGTTTTCTTAACACATACTATTTGCATTGTGACAAACAAATGTGTGTTGATACAATATTTATATTTCAAACTTCTTTAACACTAATATTTGCAGCTTTTTCAAAAATATTCACAGGTAGTTTAAAGGACTGGGAAACGAAGGAAACGAGCTGCTTTCTGAAACAAGCTCAAAAGGCAGGACACCCAAAGATGTTATGAAGACAACAGAGCCAAGATGTATTTTTTTCTCTCACAATACAGACATATTGCTCCCTTATGATCAGTTCTACCATAGCTAATGATGGAAAACAAAGAAAAGGTGGGGGGAGAATAAAGGAATGCTAACTCATGCTCTTATTTAGTTGTTGGTTTCTAAAGGTGGTGGCAAAAGGCAATTAAATGTTTGTGGTCTAGAGTCGTGAAAAGTTTACAATAATAAGTTAGTTTGATTTCAGTGACAGCAGCGGCTCAGAGTTGAAGTTGGTCAGTGTTTATGTTTTCAGCTGATAGTGAGAAACAGACCATCTGTGTCTGCACAGCAGCTGTGTGAAGCTGTGAGTCAACTGAAGTGGGTGAACACAGCATTGTGCCATGGATGTTAACGTTCATTAGTATCCAGTTAAACACTAAATTTTAGTGTCAACTTCTTTGACAACCCAAACTGCACCTAACTATGTATTGTATAAAACATTTAATAAAAAAAAATACTGAACATACAATCATGCTGCGCTATTATTTTTCATGATTTTTTGAAAATATTACGAAATTACAATAGCGATAAGACATCTGGTCTCATCTAAAGGGGTGGACAATAAATCCACTGACAACAAGCACTACTTTTGTCAGAAGCAGCCTCACTGTCTGGACCACAGTTATTAACCACAAGCTAGCAAAGGTGGAGACATTTTTGAGTAAGATCTGATTTATAGTGGCACGCCAGCTTCTTGAAATAATGCTGGAAAGCAATGACTCAAGGTTACTTTAAGGCCACGGTTAAATCCTATACACAGCCGAATAAATTGAAGTATTTGCACCAAGACTGCATCTGACAGGTAGGCAAAGGTTTTAGTCCAATTACGGCAAGAAAGGGATGAAGCAGGATAAAGCAAACCACTAGACTACACCCTAATGAGGACATGGTATAATTGCTGTGGGACTCGATTGTGCCCAAAACACAACTATTCGATTGGTACAGAACAACCAGAATGAAGTGGCAGAGAGAGTGACAGAGATAGAGAGGGAGGGATAATGAAAGTGAGAAGGATTGATTCCTCACTCAGTGTGAGAGTGTGTGGGAGGATCTGAAATGCTGCGACCAAAAGTGGGAAAGAGAGAGATGCAGAAAGTGAGTGAATAGTCAGTCCGCCAAGTTAGCCATCTTACCCTCTTATGTTACGGCCTTTTTTAAAAACACTTCTTTGCATCGGTATCACTGCATGCAAGCACACTCACAACTGTAACAAAAAAATACATGACTTCCCATCACATGAAATATGCTACATCAATCAAAGCTTTATCAGTCTATCAAGTAACTGGCATTCAGTCATTCACACACCAGTCACTTTTCCATCAACGTTAAAGCTGCTTAAAATATCTCGTTCACACTTGAGTCATACTGAACAGGAAGTGTTCCACTCACATCGCACAAAAATATAAAACTGGGATTAAGTCAAGAAAAGATATTTTACTTTACTGCACCATCAACACTGTTGAAAAAGCTGCACCACCAACACTCAATCTGTAAGTACCGCTTATTACAGTTTTTATAATATTAAGTAGCTTGAGTAAAACATTTTGTTTAAGCTAACCCTTTACTGAGTTTAACAAAACTACAATGTATAAGAGTTGCTGGAATCTAATAGAAGGCAAATCCTTACCTATTGCTCAAACTGCTATAATAAAACACCCATTATCAAATTATCATAAAAGGACTGCTTGAACTGCAGTTTATTTTACACTCTACGTGCAAACTACATATTTAACTATTCAGATAGACCCTTATTGCCCAAAGGCTGACACTACTTTTATACAATGGTGGCCAACAAACTCTGAGATTAGCTAGCTCAGAAGCTGATGTTTTTTATAGACATATAATGACATCATGAGTTACAAAGAGTTGAAACATAAATGAATAAAGTTTAGTCAATATTGTGCTTAGAGGAGTCACCCTGTAACCAGTGGGTTGCCGGTTCAGTTGTGTTCTTGTGCAAGACACTTTACCCGCCATGCCTGCTGGTGGTGATTGGAGGGTCTTGTGGCGCCGGTGCATGGCAGCCCCGCCTCTGTCCGTTTGCACAAGGGTAGCTATAGCTGCAATGTAGCCGAGCGCATTTTGAGCAGGAAAAACATGCCCAACGCCTCAAGTTGGACGCGCTACGTTCAGACCGGGGAGAGACTAGACGCACGTCTGAAGAGGGAGAAGCATCTTGGTTTTTTTCCAGTCTGTCTTTAATTATGGGTGAAATAAAGACAAAATAAAGAAAATGGCTTTGCTTTATTTACTAAAGAGCAAGCGAACGTTGTGCACACCAGATAATTAATTCACCAGATAATTTAGAGGTGGTTTGTTGGGTTAGTTTCACTCCAGGAGCTGCGAGCTAAGCTGACAAACAATTTTTTGTCCAGAGCCCAGTTTAACACCGCGGTCAGTTTAATGAGCTGCTGACCTGCATCGGTGCTGATATCTCCAGCCAGAACACCAACTACAGACGGTCCATTTCAGCTAAAGAACTCCGGTCCGTCTGTTTCAGGTTAGCGGGCAACATTCAGGAAACTGTCATGTGGAAAGATGATTCTCTCTGAATGGTTGATGCGGCACGTCGAGCAGCAAAAGTTCATTTTTTTTTAACTCGAGCGCCGGCTGCTTTGGACGTGCTGCATGCACCAAAAATGCTCAAACCGCAACTATCGCTTCACACTGCACTGCCTCTAGACGTGAGTCCACCATAGACTTTGTATGTAAACTGGCTGCTCCTGCTGCTGTGAACCCAACTTAACACCATCAGGGTGTGAATGTGTGTATGAATGGGTGACTGCAGTGTCGAGTGCTTTGGAGTCTGTAGGGACTTGATAAAGAACTATACAAGTTCATACCATTTACCATATTCTCATTTTAGGGTGTTTTCACACTAGCTAAGTCCTTTGGTCCATTTCTTTGGTCTGGACCAAAATCAGACTTTATTTTTTTTTTGTTTATTTATTTTATTTTATTTATTTATTTTTGTTTGGTGCAGTTTGCATTCACATTGTGCTTTTTTGCAAGCAGACTACAATTTACAAAGCCACATGGGTGACGATCATTGCTCTCATTAGACAGAAATGACAGGGACGGAACAGAGCACACAGAACACAGATCTTTCATACTTCCTATAGTTTCTTATTTTCCCCCTTTTTCCCCTTTTCCACATGTGACTATAGCTGTTTTTGCATCCGTATGTGTGTGTGTGCTTGTGTCGGTCTGTGTGGGAGGAGAACAGCATTACTGGCTGGAGAAGGACGTGAGAGAGAAAGAAAAAGATCAAGAGGACTATACAAAAAGAGAAAGATAAAAAATGTACTGGAACAAAACATGCTGTTTCAAACTCATAGATGAGAGCCACCCACTCAACTCAAAGCAGATTACTCTGTGTTTCTGTTTTACATAATTTTTTGCTATGGATTCTTTTTTTTTTTTTTTTTTTGTCATTACCATCAATATTAGTATTTATTGATTTTACCACATCCTAAAAAATGCCACAGCAATTACAAGACTTCCTTTCTATCCAGGCTGCTTTAGATGTTTTTTGTGGGAGTCATTCTTAAAGAATAGCTGGAATACCACATTAGCTAGTGAAGTACAGGCAAACCAGTTTGTCTTTTAGAACAAAGAATGACACACTATATAAATCTCTGGGCTTGCATTTCAAATTTTGTCTTGCAATGCCAGTCAAATGCACAATGACAGGTGATTTAAATAAAAGAAAAAAATACAGTGTTTTTATGCCTACAGTACTAATCAGGAGCATGAAGTGTCAACAACAACCATTCTCCTTATGCTAGCTGGTTGGAGTTATTTTAGCTTTATTCTGAAAGATAAATCCTAAACATAATTGAGAAAAGTAGCAGTACTTGAAATGAACATCACTCTGTTCATCTTAAGTCAAGTGTTAGCAACCATTTCTTGATTTAAAACTATTGTCTACTTTGTATTTTTTGTACAAAAAATATTAATCCATCGACATAGATGGAACAAATGTTTTCAGCCTTGTCTTTTCAGTTTAAGTCCTGCTGCTGAGAAACCCTCTCTGATAAAACAGGCTGCAAGTATGCACAAGTATTCTTTTGCTAATTCTGTTAATCCTCCACATTGATCTAGTTCAGTGGATCAATGTGAAGGAGTGTTGCAGTAAAGATGCAGCCCATACAACTGTAACACTCTTGTAGTGTTTGAAGCAGGTTACTAAGGCCACTTGTAAAATCAAGATGCAAAAAATATTAACATTTATACACTTTAATACTATTCAAACATCCAAAAGCCATTCCTGACACCTTAAACAAACCCACAAGAGACATTTCATTAACCACAATAAATTAGGAATAACTCAGAGACAAAGAAAACCAAATATAACCAAGAAAGTTTGATCCTCACCAACAGAAACAGTTTAACTTCACAGTCAGTTAACTGCAGGTGATGGTGAAAAAAAGTCGTAAGCACACCTGGAATAAAAAGAGACACAAAAAATACATTTAGTTAAACAAAAACACTAAAACAAATGCACATCAAACAATGCTTACTTGAGGTATAATGCTGCGTTCACACCGAACGCGATTTCAGCTTCAAAATCGCAGCCAACGCTGAAGTTTGAAGCTTGTGCACTTTGAGGTCAGACGCAGGAC